GCCATGGCCTGATTTTGGCGCGATGGCACATGATGGAGAGCTGCATCAATATGTTAGAAAAGAAATAAAGTAGAACGGGAACTAACTTTGTGCAAACTAGGCTGCCGATTGAAAAGAACGATATCCCCGTCGATAATGTGGCGCTCCACCACATCACCCACCGCTAGCCCATCCGCAATCATGGCCCTATTGCCAAACTTCAAGAACTTTTTATTTTCGCCTCGCGCAACGAAATTTGCGCCAGGATGCACCTCCGTGCCATTCCTCACGGCACGCCGTAGCGACTCTATATTATGCGACGTGACCCGCTCAGGATACGTCAAAATCTTCGCGACGCGCTCCGGGACTGCGACCTCGTCGATACGGAGGTTGGGGTCGGGCGAGATAACCGTGCGTCCCGAAAAATCAACGCGCTTCCCGGAGAGATTTCCACGGAAACGGCCCTGTTTACCCTTGAGCCGCTGCACGAAGCCGCGGATCGGTTTCTGGCCCGGCTGGGATTGGATGCCAGGCGTCTCCGAGTTGACGTACATCGCGACGCAAATCTGGAGAAAGTCCCAATGCTCCATGAGTTGCGGGGTTGGGGTGCCCTTTGCGATGGCCTGCTTAATGATTGCGTTCGTGAAGACGATTTCGCCGAGTTTGACGGTGAGGTCGTCTTCGGTTGAGGCTCCGTCTTGAGCGACGGAGGGACGAATGCAGACTGGAGGGACCGAGAGATACTGCCATATAAACTCCTCGGGACGTCCGTAAGCTGGGCGGAGCCCAAGCAATTCGCAGTCCTATTTTATTTCAATAAAATGAGGAGTTGGAAATTCGGCCCATACCTCATCAGAAATCCGGCGAAACAAGTCGAGCACCTTGAGGGGGTGAAGATCCTCGTATACGGGCTTGTTAACATACATCGCGAGTTCCTTCTGGAACTCGATCGCTGACTCGAATGTCTTCCTGAATGCCTCGAGCTCTGGCGCAGTTTTTTTAGCGCGGAATTTATCGTGGATGATCTTGAGGGGACCGGCCTTCTTCACGGCGCCGTTAGTCGCAGAACAATAGGGACAGTGCACGACTTTGCGGGCCATCGTGTTGACTGCCTTGATTATTATTTGACGCTGCATATTTTCTAGATTTGGCCGCCGAAAGCGCTTGATAAAGACGCGTCGGTCGGGTTCTTCTAACAACACACGCGCACAGGTCTTCAAAAAGTGTGAGTTCAATACGAATGGCGCTTGGAACACCGGATGAACACCATACCTTGCAGATACACTGAAGTACCGCAATTGTGTGCTTGAAAAATCCAATGTGAAAGACGGGCATAGCCAGCTTAATGTATGCATAATGGCCGACGCAGTTCACCGAGGACTGCCCGCAGGTCTCACAATACGCGTTCTTTTCCGACGTTCCCTGCCATTGTGCGTTTAACACCTGCATTCCAATCATCAATTGCAGGACGCACCAAACGACGATCCAAAACACCATCTTTGACAGGCAAGCGGTCGGTCGCGGTGTACAACTCCCTGTGGGTGACCTCAAACTCGGATATCTTCACGGTCTCCTGCGCATTGAGCAAGCTGAACTGAAGTTGCTTTCTGTGCCCAGTTTTTAGAATTCCAGCGCGCAAACGTAGGATTGAGACAAGTACATGACTTTGGGCGCCTGGTGAGAGACTGGATCCTTCATCCCGCCGTGAAAGAGCGCGAAAACACGCGGAGGAATACAGAGTCAGAAACGGAACTGGGATGATTGCAGCTGCTTGGCAAAAGCTTCGTCGCGTTGATGTTTTCTGTCTCCCGACGCGCCTTGCAGTCCCTTCGGCGCCCCGTCCACGCCCCGTGTCGACGTTCTTGTCTCACGTATCTCGAGACGCGCCGGGCGTACTCAAACAAACCACCAGCTCAGGATAGAAATGCCGTCGGCGTCAGCATTCTTCTACCGCAGGCTTGAAGAGCCCTGAAATTTCTTACAGGTCTTTACCCCAAAATCGGCCGCCGTATTTTTATTGACTGGTCTGGGGCTGCTATATTATTTCCGCCACGAAAAGGCAAAAGTCCTGGAGCAGCAGGGTGCGCTCAGGCCATTCATTCAAATAATCTTTTGACCTCCTGTCAGAGAAGGACCGGGCCAGCAAAGCTTATGGGCGCCCGGCGGTTGGCGGGCCATTTTCTCTGACAACGCACACAGGCGCAACATATACTGAGCAGGACCTCCTTGGCAAGTGGTCAATGGTCTACTTTGGTTTCACGAACTGCCCGGACATATGCCCGGCCGAGTTGGACAAGATAGGCCTGGTACTGGAGGCGGCTGGTGCGTTTCAAGCTGGTGGACGCAAATAGCGCATTTATTCATTTCTTTCGCGCGTCCAGAGAAGGAGCACGGTAAAATCTTCAACCCCGTCTTCGTCTCGGTCGACCCCGCGCGAGACTCGCCGTCCCGGATCGCAGTCTATCTGAAGGACTTCCATCCGGCGTTTACGGGTCTGGTTGGGTCATACCAGGCGGTGAAGGCGATGTGTAAGGCCTACCGAGTATACTTTTCGACGCCGCCGAACGCGAAGCCCGAAGACGACTACCTGGTGGACCATTCGATATTCGTGTATCTAATGGACCCCCGGGGGCAGTTCATGGAGGCGTTTGGGCAGACTGTGACGATCGATGAGATGCTTGAAAAGATACGGGCGGAGATTGGCGAGTGGAAGGCTGAGACGGGGCGAACGACATAGCAAACGTAGGGTACACGTATGGGTTAGCTTTGAAGACTAGAGAAAGCAGTGCATCACAAACAAGATCAGTTCTTGTACTGAACTTCCATGTCGACCACCACTGCGTCCGAACAGCCGCCAAAACCGCAGCCTAATCGGCTGCCATCTCTCAACCAGCTCGCTGCCCGCATAAACATCGCCGCCCCCAATGGCACAGCTGCAGCCCCTGCGCCGTCGTCGACGCTGGGGCAGCGTCCGAGGCTGCCTGCATTTGCGCTGAGAACCACTTCAAACGCCTCAAATACTTCGTTGGCGTCCACCAACGACTCGGTGGCGGTCAATCCACCGTCCACCCGCTCAACCTCTCCCTCGGCGCTTAGCTCGTCCCCGAGATCCGGGACACCGTCCAACGAAGCCGTGGCCGGGGGCGACCCCAACTTGACGTCAGAAAAGCTCGAGAAGCTTAACCAAGAGACGGCGGCTCCAAAGAAAAACGTCAAGGTTGGGTACAAGAACATTCCCAGTCTCGATGCAATCACCGCCCGTCTGCAAAGGACGCGCGAACTCAGCGTCGACGGGACTTCCAAGCCGCCAGAGCCTGAGATGATTGAGGATCCAAAGACACCCGGGTTCCCGATGAAGGCTCCAGAGCACCCGTTGGAGTACCAATGGTGAGCATGCATATTGCACGATTTGCCACCGCCTTTTCTTATCGGCGTCAAGGACGATATATCACGACACAAAAGCCAAGGTCCCATTCACCCCAGCGTCATCCGCAGGCCACTTCCAGCCTGTGCCCTCTCCCTCCCCTGCCCAAGACGGATTTGTCGCACAACCCGCGGAATCCACTGACTACGAGGCCGGCCTGACAGTCGTCGGCGAGTTCTCCACTGTCGAGGAATTCTGCCGCTACTTCAACTGGCTCAAACCGCCGTCTGGCCTCGAGCGCAACTCCAACTACCACCTCTTCAAATCCGGCATCAAGCCCATGTGGGAGGACGAGGCGAATGCCAATGGCGGCAAGTGGGTGCTCACGATGAAGAACAACCCCGCGCTGCTCGATCGCTGTTGGAATTGGCTCGCGATGGCCCTTGTCGGGGAGGAGCTCGAGGAGGGTCTCGATCTGATCTGCGGCGCGGTCGTCAGCCTGCGGAGCAAGGTCGACCGCATCCAGGTGTGGACGCGGGGCAAGGACGACGTCGAGAAGCTAAACGGCATCGGGAAGAAGCTCGTGAAGCTGCTCGACGTCTCTGAGGCTGACGGCATTGGCCTCGAGTTCCAGGTGCGTTTCCATTCTTCCATTTTCGTCATAGATTGCTGATGCGTCTGCAGTATAACACCGACGACCGTCCGCTGCCCAACAAGTTCCTCTCGATCCAGGCCATGCCGGCCACATCGTATCGCCCGACATTCCAAGCAGGAGCGCAAAACCCGGGTCGCCTCGGCGGGCACGGACGCACGGAGTCCATGGGCGCTGGTGCGTCGCCGTATACGCCGATCGAGCCACCTGTGCCGTCCAGCGCTGGCCCTGGCGGCGCGTTCGGGAGTTTCGGGATCGGGATCGGCGGGTCCGCTGCGTGGAGAGGCTCGAAACGGCAGCAATAAACGGCGTTGTCCGTACTATGTATTGAATTTGGAGATAAAGTGTAAGTTACCGTCTTCAATGTATCCTGCCATCTGTACGGTGGTTGCTGTGAGCAGCTGCCAGGTTCAGTGACCGACAAACATTATTGTAAGGCCTGACCGATTGAACTAAGCACACAGGCTCTGGGACGAACTTTGTGGGTACGCAGTAGTTACTCGCTTGGAAGTTTGAGCTGTCTAACATTTGAAAGGTTTATTGACTTCTCTGTAGTGCTTCCCAAACTTTGACTGACTTGGATGCTTTTGGGTTCACTGAGAGGCGAACCTGACCGCAAAAGCTTTCGTCCTCTTTTCAAGTTTGGACTCTGAAGCGACTGTGCAACAAACTGTGGTACTTGCGAATGCTTGCTGGAACTCAACACTAATACTATGCATACGGTCAAGTCCATCGATATGGTGTAGCGGCAACATAAAAATTGGATTCATTCGAGTGTCAATTTGATTTCCTAGGGTCCATGCAACTGGCCTCAACGAAACTGTACAAGTACTACTACTGTGTATGCAGTGGTATTCAAAATAGCTGCAGGTATTGGTCCGTCGTAACGGTGAATATGTCTGAAGGGTGGGAAAGAAAACAATAATTGCGGACATTGACATTGCAATCCTTACATATGCCCAAGCCCTGCTACTATACATCTACCACATCTACTCCAAAAGCATGTCCGATATGGTGTAGCGGTAACATATGCGCCTCTCAGCGGCGAATCATGTGATTTGATCACGTGTAGTCCAGCTCGCGCGTGCCCGGGGTTCGACTCCCCGTGTCGGAACTTTTTGAATGAATGTAAGTACATTTTTTTTTTTATTTTTTGCAAAATCTGTCTATACTTCTGTGAAACATAGGTAACCTTGTCGCCATCGGGTATGTGACTTATTGCCCTCAGTAAAGTTCTTCCCGCTCACCTTAGTTGCGCGTTTGCTCCGGCCACGGTGCTTTGCTCAGGTCAGTAAGTCAGTATGTGGCCATCGCAGCGTGAGGTCTGATTCCGACGTGTAACTGAGTGACTTCATACCTTTGAAAGGCACTTCAAGTGGCATTTCAGGCAGTGGGCCAATATTATGCGAAGGGGGAGGGGGTGTCGTATGCGAACCTGCTCTCAGCCCACCTTTCTCGGAGTAGGTCGCTTGCTCACATTTGTTCCGTTGTAGGGCCCATTATGAGGTACATTGAAGATTTCGCCGCTCTGCACGATTAGAAAACAATTCAGGTTAGCAATTAATACACTTTTGAACTAACGATACAACACAGCAGCAAGTACTTTAATCACATTGGAGGCTTGAACTTCTTGTTAGGGAAGCCCATCGTCCCTCTCGCCATCCCCAGCCGTCGTTTTACACCTGTCGAAACAGATGGGGCACCAACAACTGGCGGTTTCGCTGGATCAGGAACCGCCGCGGTTGAAGGTGTACCGACGTTCTGTTTTGACGAGACCAGAACTTGAGCCGACGGCGCAGGGGGCGGTCGCGCAAGCAACATTGGGTGAAGGGACATTGGTTTCAGCAAATCAGGGGACATTGCGCTGGAGGCAACAAACGATGCCGAGCGGGTGGCGTTGCCTGAACAATCCGTCAGCGGAACGAAGGTCCAATAGGAAAAAGACGTGCCGACCACTGGCAAAGCGGGATGCCACGAAACCCCAGGCTGGTTTGCCTCGTCGACGTCCATGGCGAGGTACCTAGTCGTTTTTCGGCTACGGTAAAGTCGTTTCAGCGGAGTATTCGAATTGGACTTGATACGCACAACTCGGCAACTCTCCGAGCGACCTCTGAGTCCGGTGCATCTACTCTCCCTAAAACCTGGGCGATTGTAGCCCTCTCTGTCGAAGGGAACTGCGACGTGCACGGCGTAAATATATTCTACGAGCACAGGATAAGGAGCAACGAACACAATGCTCGAAAAGCACTTACAGCGTGTTCTTTTGTGGCTGCGGAAATGAATTCGGAGATGTCCTTCGTCTTGGTCTCGCCGCCGACCTTGCGTTTAGAGACATGCGAGAGGTACAAGAGGCTTTGTGCACGGGTGCAGGCGACGTATAACAAACGTCTTTTCCGCGATTAAGCAGGGCCAGTGCCAGAAGATGCGACGCACCTCTCCTCTTGGACATCATCTGTCCGATAAAATGGAAAAGTCCCTTGTTCAACTATTCCGACAATTCAAACCCACCATCTAGTAGTGAATTCGATGTTGCTTACCCGCGGGAATGATTACTACAGGCCATTCCAGTCCTTTGGCAGCATGGCACGTAGTAATGGCGACTTTCTGGGGGAAGAAGATCAGCGGGAAGGGACTGACATGTACGAATCAACTGACCTCTTTGCTGTCTTCCTCACTCTGATTGTCGCCCTCGGAAGAGAGCATCGAAGCTTGCAAAAATAACCGAAGAGGGGTGTCCCTATAATGATGTGAATGACCTACGGAGGCACTAGGAACGTATACAATACCTCGAAGATGAGTCTGCTGCCGGGTCTGGATCGGACAAGTTAACATCGTGCTCGACGTCGCTCGCGAACGTGATGAGCTCCTGCACATTCTCCCATCGACTCTCCCATTCGGGCTGGGTCCGCTTCAGGTGGTCTTCGTAGTTAATCAACTCGAGCAGCCGTTGGATGAGGTCCGGCGGAGATGCGCCCTAAAATATAGATGAGAATATTTTGGTAACCAGCAGGCAAATTATTTTACCTCGGTGGCGAGCTTTCGCAGAGTACGCACAGTCTTGACGAAAGGTCCCACTTTGTGCTTGACAGCTGGTTTAATATCGGGCTGTCAAATCGCTTGTGTGAGATACGGTTCCAGTGCTCAACAAGTCCGAAACACAGACTTGGTTCGAGTCGTATATTCGTTCTATGACCTCCAGAAGCGATATTTTCGTCTTCTCTGCTCTATCGGCAAGTGCTGAAAGCGACTTTTCGCCGATGCCCCTGCTGGGAACATTTATTGCGCGAGTGAGGGCGGGGGTGAAGTTCGGGTTGTCAACGAGTTGCAGATATGCGAGTATGTCTTTGATCTGTGTGGTTCGATGAGGTGGTGCCAAAGACGTGATAGGAACGTACTTCTTGTCGCTCAAAGAATTTGTGCCCGCCGAGGACTGCGCTTGGAATGGCCTCCTTTTGTAATGCACTTTCTATTGCGCGTGACAGGGCACTGAATCGAACTAGGGACGAGAGAGATTAGTTTAGCCATCCAGGATAAGTGATCGAGCACTGACGCAGAATCGCAAAGTCTCCCCAACGCAAAACTCCGCCCATAAAAGCAACGAGGCGTTTGATCTCAACGGCGATGAAGTTGGCTTCAGCCTGCTCGGAGGGAAATGAACGTAACACTGGAACAGTGCCGGAAGGATGTGATGTGAGCAAGGTTTTGGGGATTCGCGATTCATCTTCAAACGGTATGTCAAAGAGGAAATCGCTAGAGAATCATCAACCTTATGAATGTACCTTGAGAAACGATGGCTAGACTGCGGGTGAGTGAGCGTCATGCGATGAAGGAAGAGAAACAGAAACGGACCTGGCTTTCAGAATCGAGCCTGTAGATCGATAGTTTTCTTCAAGAAAAATTTGAGTCGTCCCGACGAAATCTTCGCGTGCGTCAGTTAGACAATCGCATGAAAAGAAGGCGCCAACCCTTTCGCATTTTTCCCAGATTCCCGACCTCTGCTGAGCGCCATCTAGAACATGATTAGTCCATGGCACCTGCAATTTAGTCAACCCACCCATAGATTGACTGGTCGGGATCACCAACGATTGTGACGCAGCCGCTGGTCGGGGCGGCAATTGCTCGCATGAGCTCATACTGCGTAACATTCGTGTCCTGGCTAAATAACTTCAGAAATCTTTGCTGCATACAGAGGAAATCGGCATACAATTCATCGACGAGGACGTGTCTGCACCAACTCGTAGCCGGCGGGTGCTCACTAAACAGTTTAACTCCAAAGAGGAGCAGATCGTCGAAATCGAGACTATTGCTTCGCCTCAAGGATTTCTCGTACTGTTGATATACACTGGCGACCACACGTTGGATGTCGTCTTGTGGGTCGGAATCGGAAGAGCGCGTGCCTCTACTGGCTTTATGTTCAGCCACGAATTCCTTGGCGGTAAGACCCTTCGCTTTTGCTCGGGAAATGTAGGAAAGAACAGTTCCATCCTTCAGCGTGATATATTTTGCAGAGAGCGAGTCTTGGTGTGGCTTCAAGAAACCTGAGATGATCTTTTTGCTGATGTTCATACTCAGAAGAACGTTGCTTCGGCGAACACATCAGAGTCCGCACCTTTCCTCAGCATCACATACAGTGAAATTTGTTTCAATCCCGACCACTTTTGCAAACTTCCGCAGGAAAAGAGCGCAGAGGGCGTGAAAAGTTCCCATGCGGACCTCGGCCGTCCTCTGCTTCCCAATCAGTTTTCCGAGACGTTCGCGCATTTCAGTGGCGGCTTTATTAGTGAAAGTTACGGCACAAATCGAGGAGGGAGGCACCAAGTGGTGCAGTATTAAATAGGCAATACGAGATGTTAAGACCTGAAGGAGAATGGATGAAGGCGTTATAGCGTGCCACTTCGCTCACTTTAGTCTTCCCACTCCCGGGCCCGGCAAGAATCTGGAGAGGAGACGCAGGATCATGTAGCACAGCCCGAAATTGGGCGGCATTTAGGGATTTTAGAAACGCGTACAAGTCTCCAGAAGTTTGGGGTGCCATTTCTGGTGTCGCGAACGAGCTCGCTACGCCTACCGTCGAAGGCGGGACCAGAGACGCGTCTGCGACGTCCTGGCCGAAAGAGAAGACGCGACCAAACACGGTCATGTGATCCAAACAACTTCGTCTCAACGCCCACCATGGAGCAAGACCCCGTCCTCCAAGGAGCAAAAGCTTTCCAGGATGCATTTGACAAGGCAAATCTGCAGCTCGTGCACAACATTTCTCGGATGAATGCACCCCCGGAAGATAGCTCGGATATGGCAGACGAGAACAAGGACCCGGCTGTTGTCGCACAGGACTTAGCCGCCCAGACAGTGCGATAACCAGTCTTCTACGAAAAATCCTACTCATTTAGTATCTGCGTACAGTCGTTTCTGCGAAAGCTGAAGTTTCGATACCTGGAGCAGAACGCGAAGTCCAAATACATTACAGCCATTGTCAGCGACATCGACGATGCGGCCATCGTCACTGCGGAAGACAACAAGGCTTTATCGCTCGTATGCGAAGAGAAGAAGGAGAAACTCCGTGTCGCCAAGGCTGGACTGGCTGAGGTACGAACAAACATCCGGACATTGGCGCCCAAGGTGGAGGAGGGTACGCTGTTCCCTTCTCTAACTATTCGACGCTCATACATTCTATGTAGAATACCTGCGGCTCAAAGAGTCGGCGGCAAAAGCTGCTCTCCTGAGGCAGAAAATAATCGACGCTCGTTTAGCCTTGACGCGACTTCGCCACGCACACCCAGTCCCGCGGCTTACTATTCCTGCGGCGGAGCAGCGGCTAACAGACCAAGTAACAGAGATGCAGGTGCTCACGGACAATATAGAGCAGGCTGCCAAGAAGGTGCAAAGTGTCAAGGGCAATGTAAAGAGTGGTACGCAGGAGGTCGAATCATTACGCGCTGAGCGAGCGGAGGCGGAGAAGGCGGTCAAAGCTGCTAGAGTGAACGAAGACGATGGGCGGCTGGTGCCATTGTATGACCTGTATGTGTGCCGCCATTCCTTTTTTCCTTGCTGAATTTGTCTGCAGAAACATGGCGTCGCTTGCCCTGCATAAATCTGCGCTCAGCATCCACGACT